TTGAAAGTATTAAACAATATTTAATGACATCTCCTCGGGTAAACTGTTGATACTTTATACCACAGTCTTAGACGACTCACTCAGATACTTGTTAGCCCAAGTCAATGATGAGGGTAAGGAAAACACACTATATTACTTGAGTCGTCATCTAAGACCGGCGAATGTGAAGTATCATTCTGTTGAGAAATATTGTCTAGCTTTGATTTTTTGCCGCTCAAAAGTTTAGACATTACATGTTTTTTCATAAGATCAACCTGATCTCGAAGTTTAATCCGTTGCAGTATTTAATGACCCACCCGATGCTTTCCGACAGGTTAGCAATGTAATAGATGATTTTATTGCAATTCTATATAACATTTGTACCCCTTCGCACTATCAAAGGGTATATTCTAACAGACTTCCTTGCAGCCCACCCACTACCAGCTGGGTCCCCCCTCAATGTCGACTTTCCCGATAAAAAAGTAATGCATGTGGAACAACCTAATGCTCAATGTTGGAAAATGTAGTTCGATGGGGCTTCATCAGCCAGAAAAGATAAATGATTGCAAATGGTGATGCCCGATAAGGCAGGAATTGGTCTAATCTTCGTTACATCGGATCAAGGGAGGTTGATGTTCTCTTACCACCATTCGATGAGGCTTCATCAGCCAAAACATGGATAATCTACATAAGCTGAGAAAAGAGGAAACACTAAAGGCAATGACCGAGGATACTGAGGATTGACGCCAGCCGTTTGTTGAGTACTTACAAATATGAGTGTTACCGGGGGATATGTCAATGAGATACCAAGTCAAGAAGAGGGACATGTCATATGCCTTAATCGACAACGTTTTGTATAGAAGATCCTTTGATCAGATGTGGTTAAGATGTTTTAGCTGAACAGAAGCACAAAATATCATCTAAGAAGTGCGTGCAAGATTGTGTGGTGCTCATCCGTCGGGGTCAAAGATGAAGATGAAAATCAAGAGATTTAGATATTATTGGCCAACAATGATGTCAGATTGCATGGAAACAGCTAAGAGATGTCACCAGTGTCAGGTACATGGAGTGGTCTTGCACCAACCTCCGAACGTGCTACATCCAACGATCGTGTCATGATCATTCGAGTGTTGGGGTACAGATATAGTGGATCCTATAAAGCCTCCATCTTCTAAAGGACACAAATTCATTCTCGCAGCTACGAATTACTTCTCAAAGTGAGCAGAGACAGCGTCACTACAGGAAGTTACAATACAACATGTTCTTCAGTTCTTCAGAAATCAGATTGTCTACTGTTTCAGTGTTCTACATAGGATCATTTCAGACAACGGGTCCTCCTGCAAAAGCAAGAAGATCAACAGTTTTGTTAGACGACACGAAATAGATTGGAGATACTCCACGATTTACTATAAAAAAACATACGACTTAGCAGAAACCTTCAACAAAACACTAGTGCAAATTTTAAAGAAAACATTAGATGATAATAAAAGAGGATGACACGAGAAACTGTTAGTCCGTTGTACATTGGCCTCAAGTAATGCAGGGGTGCCCAAAGCAAGGATAATCGAATGATAATGATCATCCGTTCATAGGCCAATCGAGTAGGCTACTGATTATTAAGAATCGACCGACGCGAGGTCAACCATCCCAGAGGACGACGAATCGGAGACCAACCGACATGAATACAAATGATTACAGGCCAATCAATCGGGAGCGACCGACTTAAAACCAACTGATCAAGAGTTAGATGACTAAAGATGAGCTGCATGATCCGATATATAAGTGTCCTTTCACAATAATTCTAGCCCTCTACAAAAAAAATAAAAAAAAATAAAGTTATTTTTGAAATCGTGGACAAATAAGACTCCTTAAAGCTCTCTCTACTTCATAATCTCATTTTACACTCTAATCCCTGGGTGTGATTCATGAACAAGTCTAATTTCAATAGAGTTATAAACGAGTTAAGTTGATTAGTGAGCTAGCTCAAATTCCATTAGATAAATGGCTCAGGAATTGAGATCAACTAACTAACTAGCCAAATTTAAGCCAACTCCAATCCCAATCTTTAGCTCATGAGTCAAATCATTTTAAAATATTAATATAATTTAAAATAAAAGAAATTAAATACAAAATTCATAAAAAAAACAAAACTAAAATCATTTTCTCCCCGTCTTCTACTATATAAATCGATCAATCAAAGCACAACCATGGTGGCTCTCCTGCGCTCCTTTACATCCCACGCTGCTCTCTGCTGCACCAAAGAATTTCACCGGCCCTACTGATTTTTTCGCTGTTTGCCGGTAATGGCCGCTGCCACCGCTGTTAGACCTATTCTCCGGTCTGCTGCCATTCGGAATGCGACGGCGAGGTTCGCCTCGAAGACCTCCGGTGCTCGCTCTCCGTGTCTGATTCCCAAGCTTGGCTCCACCACTCCTCGATTTCTAAGGTACAACCCTCACTTCTTTCATACTTTTCTGACTTGAAATATCTTTTTTGAATTGAGATTTTATCTTTTGGCTTTAGGTCTTCGGTGGTAAGTTGTCTCTGTTTGGAGTCGGTTCTCCCAATGCACAGCGCGACATCATCAGCACTTATGATCTCTTTGCTGTCTATTTCCACCCATGACATTGGGTTCCTCTCGAAAGGTATTATAAATCCACTCCGTCTGAATCCGCCATGCTTCACTCGAATATGCTGTTATCTTTTTATTTTGTGAAGTTAGGTCCCGGGTTTGTGTAATTGTGTGGTTGGGGGAGGGGTGAGATGTGTAAAATGATTAAGTAATATAAGGGAGGCTAGCGAAATATTATTTCTTTTTTAAACGAAATATTAAACAATGAACATGAGCATATTTCTTTCCTATTGTTCAAACACAAAAAGAAACTGCTGGAGGGGAAAACTTAGTGGCTAATGGTCCCAAGCATTGCAATTGAGAGTGTCACAGCTGAATTCAAATTATGACGAAATTGGATAATGGAAAAGCATACCTGTCTATAGACTTGTCGGATATTTGGTACATTGAAAGGTTAGTGATTTCAGAAGAATAAGTGTATAAATTGGTTCCAAGGTCCAAAATGAGCCTGAAAATGCAACATTAAATATTTAATTGATGGATTCCAATTACTTGGAGCGAGTATCTCTATGGTGTTTCTATGCATTTAAATTTCAATCCTTCCATCTATTGGCAATGCAGCAACTTGATAGGTACAACTGGCAGGTGCTGAGGCTGAGAAATATTTGGAATAAATTTCACTGAGGTTTTTGAAAATTTCAGGCCAGCCAACATGATTGTAATCTTACTAAAAGGGGAATAGCTAGTGCAACGGACTCTTAAGTATTTTTCCTGCATTCTTTATAACATTTTTAGTTAGTTGCTTTATGCTATTAGATATAAATTTTTCATTCTCAGGGACAAGGCCTAAAACACCATAGATGATAAAAAAATTGTTCGTTTTAATAGCCTGGGAATATGGTTCCAAAGGATTTGAATAAGTGGCTTTGTGGGATGGGGTGGTGTTGGAGACCTCATTAAACTAACATTGAAGAAGTGCTCTGCATCCAAGATAGGTTAGAAAGTTACTTCAATATTTTGTGTTCAAATTAGATGAAATATATAGTCAAAATGGCAATTATTACTTTTTTTTTATTAATGGAATGCTCCCCATAAACAGAACTGTTAGGCATTGTTTACAATTTTGGGAAGTATCATGAAAGTTTGTGGCCAAATATATTTCAATAAGAGTAATATGAATGAATGACTTTAAATTCACTTTTTTGTCTCCAGGCTCAACTATTGAAATGAATCTAAATAATTTTCTCTGATGGAATAGAATGCCCATTTTGACTAGGGCCATAATCACCGATGATCTAGTAGCTTAATAGTAGTCCCATCTTCATGAATGATACCAAAAATTGAATTTGAAGAATATATGGATTAGTTTGTGACTTTATAGCTTTTAAAAATTAACCAAAACTAGTAATCAAATCCCCATGGCAATCAAAGTGAGGTGATCACTTATGCACACACCTTAAAAATCGGTTCAGATGGAATGACATTCTTGAGAAGAGACATGAAATTTAGCTTTTATGGATAAATTCATAAGAACATAATGGGATTCATTAAGTTGGGGTGTCTAATCCTTCAATCTCAAATTGGCCATGATCGGAATAATCTGCATGTTGGGGCGACTCTTAGAAATTTTGCCGATATGAGATAATAAAAAAAAAAAGAGACGCCAACTCAAAATCTCTTTTTCGGAAAAATTAAGTGTTAGTTTATCTTGATCAGAGGATGGCAACTTGTGTTGAGTTATTGAATCTCATTGGAAATATATAGGGAATCAAAAGGATACGACAGGTTAAAGATTGGGACTTTTATTGTTCTAACAATTTTTATCAATGAGCAATGAGTACAAATTTTAAAGAATAGATGGGATGGATATCAAGAAAAGATTTGAAGCTAGAGGGTGTGTGGCCTCACAATGTTGGCCACTAGATGATTAACACAAATTAACAAATGGTGATCCAAATTGAAGCAATGATGATGCCACCTTAGGTGTCGAGGTCGGATATGACATGAATGGGAATGCCAACTTCTGGAGTGATGATTATTGAGTTGAGCGTAATAATTAGAGTTAATGTGTCTAAAATTGTGTAATTTTACATATTTTTTATACTAATTAAGTTATTTTTAACATGGAGTCAAATTGGTGGAAGATTTGAGAAGAAAAAAAATATATGCAGGTATAGCACCACAGTGCCAACCACCCAATGCCACAATGTTGGATATTGCTACATGGAGAAAATATTCGAGAGCTTAGTGTCACAAATTGGATTCGGAGTGCCACATTGCTAAACCAGTAGCGTTAGTGATGACCAAACATGAGAAAAAACTTGAGTTTGGCATCGTAGCACTATATTTTTAGCATCATGCACTGTAAGTCAAGCAATGAAACACTTAAAAAGGAGCATGGATGCTCCATTTTGTGAAAAAAGAGGCCTAAAAAACTAGATAGACGCTAGTTTGCATCATTGCAGCATGACGACTGACATGATAGTTTTGTGTTGGTTTCGGAGTAGGCCACAAGGAGTTATTGGATGGTTTGAGAGTGGTTGCACATTATGAATAATATAGAATTAGTAGGGGTTTGTATTCTGTGGGAGAACATCGAGGGCTTTAGTAGTTAGTGAGCGTGAGTGTTAAAGTAACCAGGAAGAACTTGTGGAAAAACTTCTTGAAAGTGGAAGAAGAGCATATTTAACAAGGAAATTATGGTTTTATCTTTCTAAATTTTTTGTATTTGACTTTAATTTTGATTTATTCAAGATTTTTTCTTTGTTTTAATGCTTATGATTAGTGTCCAAGTATTTTTACTTTTTGACTCTGGAATTTCCTACTTAATTTTCTGCATAGCATGATGTGTTAGAATTTAATTTTAAAATATCGTTCAACTTCTTCCAATTCCATTGAGTAATTGTACCAAACATATAATTATTTCAAACTTAATTTGATCTATTTACCTCAACAGAGACATGGAAGAACAATAGGAGAATTTTAACAAAAATTCAAGTTGTGCAACCGTTCATCTATTTGAATTTTTGTAATCCGTTAAAAAATTGTGTGAATGCAATCATTTTGCTTAGTTCCTATAGACATATAGTGAATTATGTTGATTAGGCTTTCTAAGATCTAGAAGGAGACTAGTAATAAAACTTGATCTTGATTGACAATGAATCTTTGTAGTAATTCATGTCAATGTATAAAATCGGGAAAGAAAATCACAAATCCAACGTGCCTTTCTCTACCTGAAAATCACTATGCTTGTAGAAGTCTATATAAGCATTGATTTGTGAATTATTTTATTTGGATAAAAATTAGGGTCAAATCGTATTAGTAATTAACTTGTTGGTATTAATTTCTTGTGATCCTCGAGAGAAATATATCTTATTCATTTTATATTACTTGAAAATGGCATGTACATTTATGTATTCCATAAAAATTGGTCAATGATGCCCCTCAGCGAATGCATGATCATACCAATAACCCATAAGGAGAGTAGACAGTATGAGTGATCACAGTTGTGGAGGGTGTGAGCGATGGAGTGTAGCTACTATAGTTGTGAAGATTATAGACTGCAAGTGTCAGGGTGCAAGAAGTGAAAGCCTCGCGCAAGGGTGAGGAGTGCAAGCAATCCCCACACGTGAGTGTCGTAGCACAAAGAAAGGACAAATGTAGCAAGCGAAGTTGCAAGTAACGAATGATAATATTAAGTGCAAACTAAATCGCTTCGCTCCTTATGGAGGTGATGAGTAATTAAGCTTATATTTGTGGTGGTTGAGAGCTAGCTTAGGTTATGGGAACTATTTTAGGGTTGAGGAGAGAGGGGAAGGCTTATAATTATGGTTTGAAAGAGTAGAACAATAACTTCCTCATTTGTGGGAAATTATGATTTTCACCACTAAACTCTTAATTGTGGACAAGTGAACTTTAAAAACTATCAAGCTAAAGAGAATTCATTAATGCATGAAAAATTCATTTTAAATTTTACATAAAATTTAAATCAACTAAGAAAACTTAAATTTAAGGGAAAGAATTTAAAATCCAACGGAATGGGAGATGGTTGGTGCTCTTTCAATTGTAATTCCTTTGAAGGTTATTGCACCCACCCCAACTCTTAAATGATGCAATTGTTCTTGTATTGTGGAGGAAGCCTGGGATTCTATTTTCAATTTGAGGTGATGTGGCTTCCAACACTTGAATTTAATTTTGGATGCTCTACTAAGCATGACAAAACACGCACCTTGTATTTAAAAAGTAAACACATAAGTTATCGAAAAAAAATAGTTATAAAGCTCTGCAAGGTGATGGGATTTGATTTTAACTTTTGTCACCATATGCACCACTTGATATTTTGCATCGGCTTAACCCAACCATGAAGAATTCTAATTCAAAGAATTGAAATCAATTAAGCATCCATCAAGTATGGTGCATTCTTCTCCAAATCTTCCTTAGTCATCCCAAAGTATAATAGTAATTACAATTTGTCATGGAACCTGTGTGGGTGTATCTTGGACTTATGGGACTTCATTAATGATCATAGCTTTAACCTCAAAGAAGGTTGATTGAGATGACAAATATAATGGTAATCACACCTCAAAGAAGGTTGATTGAGATGATAAATATAATGGTAATCAAAATCTCTCATAACAAGGGAAGTATGCAAGTTTTGAGGTTGTTTAATTTTTTGATTTAGCAAAATAATTTCAATATTAAAAAAATGTACTTATAAACATGTTAGGTGGCAAGTCAAGAAAACAATCATTAAGCTCAAGTTTTCTTGCATTTTTTAAGGGATCCCATACCCTTGCTTATTTTTTTTTATATTTGGTAGTAACATAGCATTAAGGATGAATGCTAATTAAAACACAATGCACTTTATTGCAAATAGTTTATACTTTATCACTTTAGCATATTTAGTAATGTTCATCTGTCTTTATTACCTTTCATTAGCATGAAGACAATTTTTTTTTTGTAAATGTGAATACAAAATTAGGAAATACATGACATGAAATATTCTTAGATAAAGTTTATCGAGTTTGTAACCATATAAAAATCTAGGGGGATTTATATGCATAGCATACAAAA